TGAGGGTACTGGGATGTTACGGGAAGCCAGCAGGGTTTGGCTCGGTCTGCAGTGTCTCTAACAGTGCAATCCTAAACAGAGTTACCCTCTTCTCTGTACACTGCAGTCAATGGGCTGAGAAGGATCTAACTCTGTTTAGGATTGCACTGTTAGCCATAGTAGAGTACTGTGTTGATCTGTTATAAACGTCCTTGAGAGTGTGTTTTCCTGAGGTAAAACCTAACATCCCACAACTCCTGGTTAACTGTTAATAGTTGTGGTTCTTTGTTTGAAACAAACCTTCTTCTCTTTCACCTGAAAAAGCAAACCATCTCATCCCTGTCGGTCTTGCCTCAGTTATCAATCCAGGTTTGGTTGGGTTATACTGTGGTTGAGATCCTAACCCCTCAAACCCATTTTTCTCTTTTAATTTCCCTCTGGGAACCCCCAGTGCAGTGGGGTCAGCGGGAAACTGTACTGCGAAAGGAAGGGAAAGTCCTGTATGGGGTGGCAACGCTCCCTCTAAGCTGTGCAGGCCCTCTGAGCAAAAATTCTACTTTGGGAGCTACTGACATTTAAGTTGTGAGAGAGCGATTTGGCTCCTGCATAAATGAGTTTGCTCTGGAGCCAACCTTCCTGAGCAAAGACAAAAATGTGTGAGCCGGAGGCTAAAAAACTGTGAGCTAGCTCACGCTAACGCAGCTTAGAGGGAACACTGGTGGCAACTAGCTCCCAGAAAACCCACTGCAGTCATAAGCGGTGGAAAGGTGTGAAATTAAATCCACAAGGTATGGAAGTATGATAGCAGGGAACTTCAGCACCCCTTGGTGTCCACTTTGAAGACTCCCCAGACACAGTGAATAAAGCCGCTCCCATTTCTCCCCTTTGCTAGCTTTGGTCCAAATTACAGGTAACGGGGAGACAATGTGGACATTCCCACCGGCAGGCCTTCCAAATAATGTGAAGTTGAAAACAGTGCTATACGATGTCACTGCAACAGCACTTCCGTGCTCTCCTTCACTGGCAGCTAGGTTTGTGGGGGTGGGAAGGACGGACGATGATATCATGCTGATTTCGATTAAAGAAGACTGTGTCAGGGGGTAGCCATGGTAATGTGCAGTTGAAGAGCAAGGTTCGAGTCCAATTGTACCGCAGAGACCAACCAGATTAGGGGGTAGGGTAAGAGTTTTCAAGAGTCACAGCTCCCTTCGGCGGTTCAACTAAAGAAACTATTTATTTATTTAGGATATTTCTGGGCTGCCTCTTTAGAATCCCTACATGAGGCAGCTTACAATTAAAACCATCTAACAATGTGTTAAAAAAATTCATTAAACAGAGGGGCACAAAACTTTACGGGAGGAACAAAGCAACTTGATGCATTTGCCTAGAAGGGAAGCCGAACATTATTTGTTCCTCAAGTCACAACCCAAGCGATTGCATGAAGTTCTCTCCAGTTCCGTTCTAAGTCTCGTTATGATCTCCTTTGACTTTAAGGCCTTATTTTTATGGTCTCTGGGAATCTTTCAGGCACTAAGCAGCACAGCAAATGCGAAGCATTCAGGTACATATGAATGGATTTCAAAAACTTAAAACATAGGGCTTACAGGAAATCCTGGCAGGCCGGGCTTACCGTCTGGACCCTGTGAAATGTAACAACAGCAAAAAATGTTTACTCAGGGATGCTCGACTATCACTTCATTTGTGTCACCATTCACTGACAAACTGCAGTCAGCCCTCCCCCCCCAAACATCCCCCCCCCAATTCAGTTTTCTTGACTGTTCAAAATTGCCGGGAATTGAACTGTAAATGTGTTGCACACAGGCAGTCTAGGAATGCTTTGCCACTGCTGTTTCCTCCTCTCCCCTCTCCCCACATTATCTTACAAAACAGGATCTTTCAATTAGAGTTGAGGTCTCCCCAGCCAGGAACCATCTTTGCAGTTCTTCTGCACTCCCCAAAAATATGCACCTCAACAGCTAAGGCGGCCTTCATCAATTTTATTTTAAACAGGCTAGGAGAGTACTCTGGATGGGATCGCAGATTAGGGACTGGAAATGAAATGGACCCGGTGTTGTGTACTGAGACTGGAACATTCCAGGACTGTTCCTACCGGAGACTGGCTGAGCTTGGAGCTCTAGAACAATAGCCCACCAGGACTCTGGAGGTGGCCAATGGGGAATTAATGGTTCTGATAATGGCCTATTGTTGATAGTTGTTTGTGAAGTGGGTGGAGTTTGCATGCTATTTAAAAAGGGCCGTTTCTCTGGGTCTTTGTCTTGTTCTGGCTGAATCACTAATAAAGCTGAGCTGGTCACTAGACTTGGGGTAAGACCATCCACGGAACCTGGTATTTAACACCCAGGCATTCTTTTTTTTTTTTATTGTTTTAAAAAAGAAGGTATCACATAGTTGTTTTCCATCAGTTTGAGTTACATTACAAGTCAGAGTCATTTTTCTTTAGTTGTTTACATTACTGATTATTGGTATTGCGTTTCCGTTATAAATCCGTGGTATAATTTTTCTATTACAAATCTATCTGGTCTTCTATCCATTTATATATTCTATCCCATCTCCTTTTATGTACCGTCTCATTTTTATTTTGTATCCTTAAGCTTAAATCATCCATTCTGGCTAATTCTAATATTTTATTTAACAAGTCTTCCCTTGTAGGTAAAGTATCTATTTTCCATTGTCGGGCTATTAACAATCTGGCTGCAGTTATAACGTAGCTGATAATATATGCATCCTGCTTATTGTATCCTTTCGGGATCATATTTAACAGATATATTTCCGGCTTTAGAGCCACATTTTTACCCAAACTTTCTTGGAGCACCTCCCTTACTATTTTCCAGAATTTTTGTATCTTGCTGCACTCCCACCATATATGATAGAAGGTTCCTTTACAAACTTTGCATTTCCAACACTTATTTGAGTACCCCTTGTAGCATTTGGCCAGCTTGTCAGGTGCCCAATGCCATCTATGAAACATCTTATACACATTTTCTTTATATGCTACCGCTTTCATATGTTTAACTGATTTCCACATGCTAGACCATTGTTCTTCATCAATTTCTCCTATATCTTTCATCCAGGTGATCATTACAGTTTTAACATCATCTTGTACAAAATCCTTTAACAAAAAATTATACAGTTTCTGAACTAATTTATCATTTGAGGACAGCCATATTTTATCTAGTTCGTTGTTTTGATCCTCAAAGCCTCTTATCATATCTTTCTTATATCTATCTCTTAATGTCATCTGCTCCCACCACGACAAGTTATTTTCCTGTCTCAGTTTTTCTTCTGTTTTTAGCTCATTTTTTTTTATTTAATAGGGTTTGGTAGCTTTCTCTTAAGTTCATGGTTATTATTGATGGTTGGATAAAGACTTCCAATGGGGCAACCCATCTTGGCGTTCTTCTGTACCAAATTCCTTTGATTTTAACCCATATCTTATTAAGGGATCCTCTTAATGTATGTCTGCCAAAATTTGAGTGTAGCTTGTATTTCCCATACCATACATAAGCGTGCCATCCCATACTAAGGTCGTGACCTTCTAACGCTAGGAGTCTTGTATTTTCAAGACTTACCCATTCCTATATCCATATTAAGGCAGCCGCTTGATAGTATATGTACCAGTTGGGAACACTCAATCCGCCTCTTTCTTTCCTATCTTGAAGTACCTTCCATTTTATTCTAGATTTTTTATGCTGCCATATAAATTGTCTAGTGATTTTATTTAGATCCTCAAAAAAGTTTTGTTTTTTTAACACAGGTATATTTTGTGCCAAATACAGAAATCTAGGCAATACATTCATCTTGATCAACGCTATTCTACCCATAAGGGATAGTGGGATGGCGTTCCATTTCTGCAGGTCCAATCTAATCTCTTTCAGTAGTTTCACATAATTTCCTTCAATCAAAGAATTACATTTATTTGTCATGTTGATTCCTAAGTATTTTACTTTTTTAACTATTTCCATCTTAGCTAGCTAGCTCTTTGATTTTTTCTATCGTGTTTGGGAAACAATTCTTTACTATTCTTTACTATTCTTTACTATGATATTAGACTTTTTATAATTAATTTTTAGTCCCGCAACCTGTCCATAGTTTTGTATGGTCTTCATTAGTTCCTCTACAGTCTTTGGGATTCCCTATTATAAACACCAGGTCGTCGGCAAATGCCTGTAGCTTAAATTCCTCTCCTTTCACCTTCAAGCCTTCTATTTGTTTGTTTTTCCTTACATCTTCATTCAGTGATTCTATTGCATACACAAAAAGTAACGGAGACAATGGACAACCCTGTCTGGTTCCTTTCTGGATCTCTATCATTTCTGTCAAGTCTCCATTTATTATTACTTTTGCGTATTGCTTTTTGTATATAGCTTTAATTGTATTATAGAATTCTTGGCCAGGGTCCGCAGCATCTAAGTTTTGTAGTAGAAAGTCCCATTCTTAACTGCCAATGTGCCCGGCTTGGGAAATACAGAATGAAAAAGGAAAGGAAAGGTCCATGGCTGCAGAGAGCAAGGGAAGAGGAATGCTGCTGGCTGACTGATGATTAGAGAGTGTATCCCATGTGATGTTGTCCCATCGTTTTGATAAAGGAGTTAGAGACGGAGTAACTGATCCGCTCTTGGCTACGGAACCAGACTGTCCAGCAGATCAGCGAGGTCCTTCCTGGTTCAACCCTGTCCCCAAACTTAGATTCTACACCACACGCGAGTTCACCCCTGTAATTATCTCGGGGCATTTCTGCGTTCTACACTAAACTTGAGTTCACCCCTTGTAATTATCTCGGGGTATTTTTTTTGTTTCCACATTACATTGAGGTCACCCCGGTTAGTCCCCACACTTGTCCCGGGATAAATGGATGCTGTTACAACCAAGGCTAAATGCAAGGCATTGTGTCGCGAGTTGAACTCTGATAAAACCAGGGATGAGATCCAAGTGCGGAAAGGACCTAAGTTATCCTTTTTCTTCCTAGGGAGCATGTCTATATCACTGAAAAACGGCTCTCTTTTCCAATGTAGCCACTGAGAGTAGATTCCGGATGCTGGGGAAGAAAACCTCTGTTAATCAAGTTAGGTAGCCGCGTTAGTCTGTCTGTAGCAGTAGAACAGAGTCCAGCAGCATTTTAGTAAAGGTAAAGGTTCCCTTGCTCGAAAGCCAGTCGAGCCCGATTCTAGGGTTGCGGTGCTCATCTCTGTTTCAAAGCCGAAGAGCCAGCGCTGTCCGAAGACGTTTACGTGGTCATGTGGCCGGCATGACTAAACACCAAGGCGCACGGAACGCTGTTACCTTCCCACTGAAGTGGTACCTATTTATCTACTTGCACTTTCTTGCTTTCGAACTGCTAGGTTGGCAGGAGCTGGAACTAGAGACGGGAGCGCACTCTGTCATGTGGCACACTCGGGTCTCGAACTGTGAACCACCGACCTTCCACAGCCTGCAGTTCAGTGTCTTAACCATTTGAGCCACCGCAGCATTTTAAACACTAACAAAATTGGTGTCAGGGGATGAGCTTTCCTGAGTCACTTCTCACATGTGGATTAACACCTGCCACATCTTATGTTAATTACGCTCGTTATAGATGCTATATTTTGTTTTAACAGTCGTATTACTGAGAGGTCTGTTGACCACATAATAAACTTTGCTGTACTTGACCGGTGAATGCGACCGACTGTTCAGGCACACACAACCTAACTTACAGTGGCGTAGCACCACTGGGTAGGCAGCCTTCAAGATGATCAAAAGAAAGGCTTGACTTATTCTTAAAAATAAATCCAGGCCTCCCAAACAAGGTTAAGTTCCAAAGTCAATCTCATGGTTCTCATAGTTCTCGGCACATTTATTTCACTTTGATTCAGTAGAGCAGGTCGCCTGTGGACAGCTCCTGTTTGCGACCACTCATCCATCATCAACCGCACTTGCCTGCTAGATGCAAAATCAGAACTCCAGCTTGCTGCGAGGCAGAACTCAGGTTGGGACTGGCAGGAGACACCCCCCCACCCCCCAAGCTGGGCAAAGGGTTTTGTCAGACTCCTGGTCAAGGGACTCCCAACAACACTCTCTTTGGCAGTGATTTGTTGATTGAGATATCAGCATGATCCAGGTTAGAACAGCACCGCGTCAGAACTGAGGATTTTGGTGGTAACCTCTACAGATATAGGCAATTCAAATGTGACCCCCCCCCGGGTTCATCCAATTGTCTCACTCAGCCGTCTCACCTAAGCTGTTAGCATCTACGCCGACCTGTAAGTTCCCAGTCCCCTTATCTAAAACAGTGAGGCTAGCACAGAGTTTGCTTCAAGGTCGTCTCCGTGGAGAGGCATGTCTTGGGAAGAGTTCTGATAGCCGCTACAATGGTGCCACTCTCCTACTCACACTCACACACATACACCCCTCAGGAATTCCCCTCCCCCCCCATAACTATGGCAAAATGAAGCAGAGTTTGACAGTTTTTCAGTATCAGAGCTCAACCAGGGAGCATGTAAAGGAAGAACAGACTGAGGGATCCCTCTGCAACTGCACTGTGCAGTTCTCTTACTTCTTAACGGAATTCTCTTACTTCAAAGTAACTCCAGAGAGCAGCTTACAGACCGATTAGGAACGGCTTTCAAATCAGCCACCCCTCAGAAGCCGCAGTGGTGTCATGAAAATGACTTCACCATGGCCTCATCCAGCGGCACTAACGCCAAAAGGGCAAGGTCTTCATCACCCAATCGTTGCTCCTGATCGCAGCCGGGCAAAGACTGAATAGGGACCGGCCTGTGTGATTTGGTTCCATCCACACAGCGCCCAACCTTACAGATGCAGCGTGGGAGGAAGACTCCTAGGCGGCTCCCCCACACCTCTGTTGCAACGTCTCACCTCAGCCCTCCCATCTCGAGGAGATCTAGGGTCGCTGTGCAGAGGCAGGAAATGGCAACCCACAGGTGAATGTCTCTTGCCTTGAAAACTCTATGTCAGCTGCGACTTCATTTATTTATTTATTTTTCATATTTATAGCCCACCCTTTCTGCAAGCGGGTTCTGGGCGGGTAACAACATTTCAACAATACAAGAAGTATAATCAAAATTTAAAAACAAAGTAATATACATTGAAATGGTGTCGCAGCCCAAGAATAGAATTGGTTGGCTGTGAGAGATTCCCTGGCCAGGTTGATGACTAATGAGTGATAGGTAAAGGTAAAGGTTCCCTTGCTTGAAAGCCAGTCGAATCCGACTCTAGGGTTGCGGTGCTCATCTCCGTTTCTAGGCTGAAGAGCCAGTGCTGTCCGAAGACGTTTCCGTGGTCATGTGGCCGGCATGACTAAACACCAAGGCACACGGAACGCTGTTACCTTCCCACTGAAGTGGTACCTATTTATGTACTTGCAATTTCTTGCTTTCGAACTGCTAGGTTGGCAGGAGCTGGAACTAGAGACGGGAGCTCACTCTGTCATGCAGCAACTCGGGTCTTGAACTGCTGAACTACCGACCTTCCGGTCTGCAGTTCAGCATCTTAACCACTTGAGCCACCACAGCTCCTTAATGAGTGATAGCCAGCTGTTAATAAATGGGTGACAGACCTCAGGGAGGCTGTACATGGACGCCCGCTGCCTCAGCCAGAGGCTCGGTGGAACAGCTCCGTCTTACAGGCCCTGCAGAATTGAAGGAGATCCTGCAGGGCCCTGATCTCAATGGAGAGCATGTTCCACCAGGCAGGGGCTAGGGCGGAGAAGGCCCTGGCCCTGGTTGAGGTGGACATCTTTTGGACTTGACAACGCTTTCCACAACCACACACTCCGGCAGAATTTGGATTATCAAAAGAAATGGGAGAACATCAAAGGGGAGGGCAGAAAAGAGGAACGGATCCTCAAAGCTGTTAAAAACACTTATCTAAATAAACAGAGTAGGTCCAAGACAAATAGAGGCTGAGGATCTGAGCCCTTTTGTTCTGGTTCATCTAAAGATTAAATCTTGAAAAATGTTTTGCTAAGTACTCCAGGGAAAGGGGTTATGCAGCAAGGCGGCAGTGAGGACCACTTCTGACACTCACCGTCAATTATTTGAATTTTTCCCCCCTGTTCCAGAGAGATGCAGCGTCTCCATGAAGCAGGCCAGCTTTAAATCGCTATTTTGTACAAGTGTGTCCGTCGTTGCTAAAACCCATCCTTGGATCAATTCAGCATGTTCCCCTGCACTCACGCAGTCATATCGGAACGCTTCCCAACTGGGAGTTTCTTAGACCCTCCATGATCTGTATAGTGAATGTGTGTATATGTGAAGTTGTCACCAAGTCACAGCCGACGTACGGCAACCCTGCAGGGTTCTCAAGGCAAGAGACGAACAGAGGTGGTTTGTCGTTGCCTACTTCGGCACAGCAACCCTGGACCTCCTTGGCGGTCTCCCATCCGAGTGCTAAGAACATAAGAGAAGCCAAGTTGGAGCAGGCCCATCAGACCTGATGGACCCATCAGGCCCATGTTGGATCAGGCCCGTCCAGTCGAACAGTCCTGTGTCACACAGTGGCCAAAACTCAGGTGCCATCAGGAGGTCCAACAGCGGGGCCAGAACTCCAGAAGCCCTCCCACTGTTGCCCCTCAAGCACCAAAACTACAGAGCATCACTGCCCCAGACAGAGTGCTCTGTGTGTTTGTTGTTGTTGTTGTTGTTCGGTTGCAGCTGAGTCCGACTCTTCGCGACCCCATGGGCCACATCACGCCAGCCCCCCTGTGTTCCGTCGTCCTCCAGAGTTTGCTTAATTTACTGGACACCTTCCGACTTGAGGGACTCATCTTCTGGCGCTACTGTACACGGGGTTTTCTTGGCTTAGATACTGGATTGGTTTGCCATTTCCTTCTCCAGTGGATCACATTTTGTCTGAGTTCTCTGCTGTGGCCTCTCTGTCCTGGGTGGCCCTCCACGGCATAGCCACCAGCCTCATCGAACCACGCAAGCCCCCTTGCCACGTCAAGGCAGTGATCCATGAGAGAGGCCCCATCTATACCTTGCGTCTAATAGCTACTGATGGACAGGGGTCATTTCGTAGAAAAAGAGGTGGA